TTGGTTTAGTTGGATCCAACCAATGTTGAACATTATTGCTATCGGTGTATTGTAATCCAAAGTAATCTTTTTCAATCAAATCTAAACTATAAAAAACCTGTTCATACAAATCGCTTGCCAGTGCTTTTTTCTGTAAAAATAAATGTCAACGTATAGACGTAAATATAATTTCAATTATTTAAATATAAAAATATAAAAATTTAAATATAAATATAAATAAATAAAGTACCGATAATTCGATAGGCAAGTCAGTACCATCTAATAAAACAACTCTACATTGCACAACATTTTTATTGCTAAGTAACCTCTGATTTTTAATCTGGGACGAGTTGTTTTGCCCAGTAACACTACGACCTCGTCGTCTTGAAAGAAATCTCAACATTTTCTTTCTCCTTTGTAATTAAAATTACACTCTCAAAAGAATAATGTAAATATTAATAGTACACCGTATTACAAAATGCATTATAAACTGTAATGTATTACGATACGAATTCCGCCCAAGCTACGCTTGGTGGGGTTAATTTCAGCAACACCAGCGGACACTGAAAACTCTTAAATGGCTGCTTCGTAGATAAGTTAGTTTGCCTTATAACGGAACCGCTGGTATGTATATTTTTAGTAAAAGTAAACAAATAAAATAACACGGTATATAATATACTCTGATAACTCCAATATACACTCACAATACTTATTATTAAGTTAAAAAATAAAACTATATTCTTCATAAAATGTATAGAAAATAATTTCATGTTACATATATTATAATATATTATATATATAATTATAAATTATATATATTAATTTACATAAAAATCTCTCGAAGGAAGTTTTGAAAAAAATTACAGTGCAGTGACTTGACCGACTGAGTTTAGCTTTCTCGTTTTAATACGAAACTCTTACACGTAGTAGAGCTGTACTCTGATTTGTCCCGCGAATTATAAGAATGTCGTGGAAGGTGTGATTTGATTGGTCTATTATTTACCGCTAAGAAACCACGTGGTTATGAAAGATATGAATAAGTAATGATACTTTAAATTCAATATATTAAAATAAAAGATGTTTAAAAATAATTAATATTATATTTCTATGTAGAAAAAAAATAGCATAATAATCCTCAATCTTATTCGATTTACTTTTACAAGATATAAAATTAAATAATTAAACGATAAATAGTATACAAATAATTAATAAAAATTGTAATGTAATTCTTTTTAATATTACAACGTTCTTTAAAATGTTATAATTATAATCATCATTAAACTTGAATTTTCAAGTAACGGGTCATCGACCAATGCATACATGAAAAACACGTAGATACATATAAGTTGAACGTGCATGCTGTTTGCTGTTCATCCAGTCATTGTATCCGGCATAGGCTAATCGTTATTACATATGCACGCTACATTAAGGCAGGTCGCTGATGCATATCGAGGAAGGGCTCGGAAAAAAAAAGAATTAAAAAAAAGGACAGACAGAGACAGAGAGATAGATAGATAGATAAATAGAGAAAGAGAGAGAAAGAGAGAAAGAGACAGAGAGAAAGAGAAAGAGGGATGTCTAATGAAATTCGTCTTTTCATTGATCCTCTCTCTCTTTTTCTCTCCTTCTTTCATACACGCATATACACACATACCAATACTTTTTCTTTTATTCCCTTTTTACATAACGCGGTACTCGAAACGAATTTTTTGTGTAAAATCGAGATCTTCATGGTTGTCGCCCCCAGGCATATTTGAGAATCAGCGTTTTCTAATCTCTCTTTTACATTTTCCATCTCTCTCTTTCATTCTCTCCTTTCTTTTTTTCTTTTTCTTCTTTTTTTTTTTTTTCTATCGCTCACTACTCGTTCACGAATCCGCGATTCACGCGCGTCTTGCTAACTTCCGTTCGTACCTTTGAATGCAGTCTAAATCGATTATCGTGGCCATTGTCGTTGGAATCCATTGTCGTACGAGACGAATCAACAGCGTAGGACAATACGTAAGCCTTCGTGCACGGACTAATTAGTTTTCCTTGTCAACCGAGAGTAATCTTTAGCTAGACTATAATATACACATATTTAATATTTATATTCATTTTTCCTTATTTAATATTTCATACAGAATCTAAAATATTTACTACGTGGTGCACACATATTTTATAGATCTAAAATTATATATATTTATAATTTAACTCATGTATTTTTACTAATTAAGAAACAAAAGAAGAAATAATTTTACATTCATCCTGCAAGTTATGTGTTTAAAATTCAAATCATCGAACTTTCTCTCGTTTTGTGTTTAAATCACTAACATAAGAAATAACAATTACATAAATAAAAAATTATGAATCATGTGTATAATTCTTTATAGAAAACAAATCATTACTTTCATAATCTTTACGATGACAGTAATATTTGTTTTATTTATCGTTATTTCTTCGATGTCATTTTTTCTATGATAAAAATAGTTAATATCTTTGAATAATGCGGTTTATTCGAAGAAATGTTTATGTATATGTTATTACGAATCATTTTTCTCGTCATGCTTCTAACGAATGCAACGATTATTATTTCAAATTGATCCCTTTTTTTCTTTCTTCTTCTTCTTCTGCAAACGTTTATTCGGCTTTACAAGTCATGTGATACGTTGCTGTTCAACTGCCCAGTAAGCCGAAGTGATTAAAAGTGGATAAAGTTCTTTGTACTGATGTTTAAATATATATATATATATATATGTACATACATACATTTATGTGTAAAAAAGGGAAAGAGAGAGAGAGAGAGAGAGAGAGAGAGAGAGAGAGAGAGAGAGAGAGTTGTTTCTTTCGATAACGAATCAGATATCCCTACCATTCTATTCCAACTCAGCAATATCTCGATACGATCGATCAAATTTCTCTGATTTTATAACAAACTGATGCATGTATTTATACATTACCAGTTAAAATTATTTGACCACATTACAATTTTTCTATCATTTGATAGAAAGTTGTTTCAAAGGAATGTATTATCCAATTTTTATTCGTTAGTATTCCTATAAGAAAATAATTATGTAGAATTTTAAGAAATTAGGAACGTAGGAAATTAAATGTATAGAAAAAAAAATGATTTGAATGATAGTATATTTGCATATACATATTCTAAACTTTTTATACTTGAAAAAGTGTTTCTCTATTTCGTTTTCTTATAATTATTTATGGATATCTGAATATTTTGTTTTACGAGCTCGTGTATTACTAGTAATACAGATTAGAATCTACAATACTAATTGTTGTAATTATCTATTTAAATTATAGTGGGGATAATATCGCGTTTTTTGATCAGGACAATAATCATCTCTTACACGTTCATCGGATAGGTACGTGTAACATCATACTTATTAGCACATTTACTTTTAAACGACTAGGTAAGCACAAAGAGAAGGATAAATCATTCAGAAAGGCAGGTGAATCATGCGCTTGCTATCTTTTCTTTCTCTCTTTTTCTTTCTCTGTCTCTCTGTAACAATGATCGCGACAGCTGTAAATTACTAATCAAATGTATATGTAGACGTGCATTTTTCTCTTTTCTTTCTTTTTTTTTCTAAATAATTCATTAATAAAAAAAAAATTAAATATTTATATTTATAATTTATTATGATCCGTGTAGGAAAAATAAAAAGTATTTGCAATTTTTACAGTTCTTTTTTCGTATTATCGACGAATACAAAATAAAAACATTCTTTATACTAAAATTTATTAATAACATTGTACATACACACACAACACATATACACACACATAAATTATTTGCAATTTTCAAAATTCTTGCTTAATCGACGATACAAAATTAGAACAATTGTTCAGAATAAAATGATCATCACAATTAAAATGAATGAAACAACATATCCGCGAACTTCAGTTAACATTTTTCTTTAAAAAAAAAAAAAAAACTGCAATATCTTCTTCAAAAAACAAAACAAGGCGAACAAAGAAAAAGGAAAGAAGGGAAAAAACACAGGAGAAGAACTCACTCACTCGTTCAGTCCCTCCCACCCTCACTCGAATCCGAATCCCAAACGGGAATATTTCGAACGTGATAATGGTTCAATCTCGTTTAAAAAAAAAAAAAAAAAAGAAAAACTATATAAAAAACAAGGGGGAGAAAAAAAAAAAGGGTAGAAATAAATCACGAAAGCAGCGTCAGACGGGTATATTGCCGGAATATCGACAAGGTTCCATTCAAAGAGGATTTCCTGTACTTTTTTTATTTTTCGCCTATTTTTATTTTTCTTTCCCATACTTTTTTTCTAACGCTTTTTATCCAGAACTCTCTCTCTCTCTCTCTCTCTCTCTTTCTCTTTCTTTCTCTCTTTTGGATAGGAGAATCGCGAGATTGACGTTGAAAGCTCTCTTTCGCGAAGAGAGAGATCAAAAATACTGACAGACATCCGAAGAGGATCGAAAAATCGTGCCGAGGAAAATAAAAAGCAGAGGAAGAAGCTAGAGAGAGGTTCATGTTTGTCGGAGAAAGGGTAGAGCTTGAGAGGACCAAGAGAGGGAGCGAAATAGAAAGAGAAGGATGAAGTGGTCGACGAGGAAGAGGGAGGGACAGGGGGGGGAGAGGAGGAACAGGCCAGCTGACTGTCAGAAGGGGAACGACGCAGAGCAAAACTGTTTCAGGCAGTTTGCCTTTGACGGTGGAAGAACGTTGAGCTTTCGTGGATTACACGTACTATCGGTTCGATTCGATTCGAATTGAAAATCTTGTTTGACAAAGCCCGCCAAAATTTGTCACTTTCTTTTTCTTTTTTTCTTTTCTCTTTTTTCTTACATTCTCGAAAAGGGGTTTCGCGTTTTTATTCAACTTTTATGGAAAGTGTAAAGTGTGTAAAAAAAAAAATTTGATGGCATTTTGATATAAACAACCGACAGAGAACACTTTGTTAATTTTTTTTTTCTCTATCTATTTATTTATTAATATTATTTAATAATATATTTTTAACGGATTATTTATTGAAATTCTATTATAAATTGTTAATTTATTATTGTGTGAGAGAGAAAAGTTTATATTTAGTATTGTGTATAATATATTTAAAAGATTAAGTTTTTAGAGGTGTTTTTGGGTTTGGTTTTTGGGATATATTGATTTGAATTGTTACGGGATATCGATTTTTGTTCTGGTTCTAAGAGTTATTGTAGTTTCTTATTTCTTTCAAAAGTGTTTTCAAACGATTCATCTTGAAAAGATTTGTCGAAGGAGTTTCTTTGAAAGTTACGCTTCTAAGTCGACATTTCATCTTCCAAACCGTTGTGAATCATGCCGGGAGACTTCTTGATTCGATACAAGGTAAATAAACATGTTATACTGTAAACACGTATACAGGATTGGAATCTATCTTTTCTATTGTTTTTATTTTACAATATTACTATTATTTAGTTCGATAATTGATGTTCTATAATTACTCGGCAAACGATTAAAATTTTTATTCCGAGATTTTTAATTACGGTAATTTATTTTATTTTTTTTTTTCTTCAATGATATCGACGGTTCATATTAACAGGATGTCGCAAACAAATATTATCACACTTTAAAAACTTAAAACCCTTGGAACACATTGAAACATTGAAAATACACTAATAATCGCTTAAAACATTGTGTGATAACATTTTTTTGGCGACACCGTATATTTCTCATATTTAATAAAAAAAGAAAATGTAAAAACTAGACAACAAATATATCGTAGATAATATTTGATATATTTCTAAATGATTTCTTTCATCGATGCCTACGTCATTGCATATATCCGCTATTTTACGATGGTCAAGACTTCGTTTCGTAAATATTTGTCACACGATTATCGTCGTGATAGTTATAATACCGAGAACATTATCGTTATTATACAATGAACTATTATGAGAGGTAACATGCAATCGTTATGAAGAAAAAGAATAAGAAGAAAAAGAAACGAATATAAACAGGTATTATATTGCAATTGTATTTACTTTTTTCTTCAAATGAAAGAACAAATTGTGTGTGTGTGTGATATTCCTTACAATTAGTATTCTTCTTATAATAATCAATAGCTCTGATAAATAATACGTCATATGATCATTCGAAAATATAAGCAAAATTATAACAACAAAAAATTGTCTACAAAATATTCTTTCATTTCTATCTTATTATAATTATCTCTTTTATATTATTCGTGTAAAAACAAAAAAAAAAAGAACATGACTTGGGGGATCGTTTTAACGATGTAAAATATTAAAAGAAAGTACCCTGTTTTTTTTTTTTTCAAAGATATTAAAAAAAGATCGAGAAAATGATTTTTAAGAGATCTCGCGAAAAAAAAATCCTCGTGGAAATAGTTAAGATTAATAGATAATCGTGTACATATATATATATATATATATATATAGAGGGTAAAAACAAAACCGAGTGCAACGACACGAATCGATTAGAACGAGAAGTCTTTTCTATACGGAACGAAAGACTCCTTCTCGTTGGTTGTTTCCGCAGGGACGCTCACCTTGCGGAACTTGCACGTTAATGCGATCCCGTGCCATGTTATCTCACGATCTCTCACGTTTTTCAATGTTTTTCTATAGAACGCCCGATTACTTTACTCGGAGATCGAGATAACGTTCTTATTTCCATTTCCCTCTCTTTTTCCTTTTCTTTCTTTCACTGTCAGTTAAAATACGTTAAAAGTTTTTTAAACGAACGATTTTTATCATCGAGGAAGTCATTCTCTTTTTATACTCTTTTATTTTTATTTTAACGGAAAACAATCTATTATATTTATTAATCAGAAGAGGCACATTGGGGTAAATTAATTTGTTTTTTTTTTGTTAAGAAAAAATTTATATAAATAAGAAAATTATTTGTTTCAATTTTATATATTTATACAAACTTTTTGTATTAATAATTCATAATAAATCATTATCACACAATCTACGCGAAAGATACTTAATTGTAAAGAAAATAAGATAGAAACGAGGAAATTATTTGACGCGGAAAACGTGATTTCTCGGTTAAATTATTTTATCTCTACGTTTCAATTTTATTCAAACATTTTTTTATTAAATAATTTCAAAGCGAATCACGCGAATAAAATAAAACAAGGAAAACTATTTCCCATATATAGAAAACTTTTTATTATAATAATTTTCTCTTTCCTGCATTTAATTCTATTCTTTCATTAAAAGCATCGAATTATTATAAGACATTTCAATGAATCGAACACTTTCTGACAACATTTCCATCGGATATTTCAAATTACTCATTCTAACATTTCATTGGTACTCGATCTTATTTTATCTAACGAATCCAATTATAAAAATAGAAAGAAAAAAAAGGAATCTATAAAATGAAATGGGTTTTCTCATCACTCGTCTATCTTTCTCTCTCTTCCACCTGTCATGACAATTTAAAACGAACGTTTTATTATTTGACGGGAGTAAGTACCGTTCGAGATTAACTTTCAAAACGTTCTCACTTATTGTACTCATAGTACTTAAGTATACTTAACCAAATAATCGACTCGTTGAAGACGAGAGAAGAGAAGATTGCACGGCAAATGTTGATATCACTTTCACGTTGGCAAACTTTTTCTTTATCTTTTCCTATAATTTCTTCTTTCCTTTCTTTCTTTTTTTATTTTTTTTTTCGTCAATTATTATTATTATTATTATTATTGGTCAACAAAGGAAACCGCGAAACTCGAGGCAACGCAAAAATTCTTCCACTGCTGCGGCTCGATTTCATCCGCGTTGGATTTTATGTGTCGGTACGTTACCCCATGGTTTTAAATCTCGTGTCAATTTTCCTTTTATTGTTAGACGATTAATTCGCGTCCTGGAAGCGAAAGTAACCGCGGCGAATATGACCACCGTGATAAACTATCGTCTATCTTTTTTCTTTTTGGTATCTATTTTAGGTGTCTCATCTCTTTCGTGGAATCATAATCGCAATATTTTTTTGTTTTAATTAGAATTATTAAGTATTCATATATTTTTTATTTTTTACTTGAATTACAATTAATTTGATTAGCAAAAACAACTATATATATATTTTAAGATTTTTATCATCTCAATTATATCTTATCGTGTTTTAATTATTGGATTATCTATTTTCTATTTAACTTCGATTTCAGATACTTTGATTCACCTATATCATTAATAATAATGATTAATCATAACGATAAAACTGATAAAAATAAATGCAGAAATACTTCAAGATCTGTTTTTAAATTATTACTAATGAAAGGAAAACTATAATTCAAGAATTAGACAAGTACAAATTACTTTTTGAAAGTAATTTCCTAAGGTGTTAAATGTATTCTTAAGAAACTGAAATCCTTTTATTAAAAGTTCGACAGTTTCTCGAATCGAAATAGCTCAGAGGCTTAGTAGATAGTTCGATAGTCTTTCTAACGAGGACAAGACCTCACCAAGGACGTTTCTTAAAAAGAACAAATTGTATTAATTTAATATAGACAATTAAATTATTAAATAATAAAATATAACAAAGTTTTTGTTTTCGAAGTTCCTGTTTCGATATAAAAGATAATAATTAATTTGTTTTATTTTTTTTTTTTAATGCAAGAGTATAATTTTTCTAATTGTTGTTTAATGATTTAATTATTAGAGCATAATATTCTGCAATCAGAGCACACTGGATTCTACATATTCGTGGCTTTATGATTAACAAGTAGGTCATCCATTCGAGCCGTCCCAATCGAATTCCATCGAATTCCGAATCCGATTGCGTGAGTTTCATGCGAGAATAACGATATATGTATTCTATACAAGAGGAAGAAGTTTCCATAGAGTCACGCAATGTATATGTTTTGCCCTTTTCTATAAAATTCTATAAAGGAATGATTTTCTTTCACCGTTACATAAAATATATGTATATTTATATATCTTTTCTAATTATAAATTAATTACCTTATCTTTATCTAGATTTCTAACATGAAATAAAATGGATTTGATTAATAAATAATTTTTGTATTTTTTTGTTTTTTTTTTTATATTAAAAATAATGGCGTGTTATATTTATTTCATTGTAAAATATTGAAAAGTGTTTTCAATTAAGAAGAAATATTCTATATTATGTTAATAATTTAGATATAAAATAATTATTATTTTTCGTTTGTGTTAAAGAGAGAATACATACAAAAGTATATAACACAATTTTATTATTATTTAAATATGAAATATTTAAAATTTGCAATAATAAATATTACACTTACTTTTATTTATTGAGATAAAAAATATGAATGAAAATTTTTAATAACAAATATATTAAATTGTAAATCTATTGAATATTGTTTCAATTATTTATCGGTAAACAAAATTATATTTTGCTTATAATCATACGATAAACAAAAGGATGCACATTATTGCAAACAAACAAAGATTATTCTTATAACTTTATCTTATATTTTACCTTTCTCACTTTCAAAGTTTACCAAGTAAAGTATACAAATAATTGACTTCAGGGAATTCTCTCACGATAATGTTTCCACGAAAGTTTTCTCTTTGCGAATTGAACCACAAGAGACACACTACGTACGAGTATTACGTGTAATATGTGGATACTTTGAAAAGGTTTTAGAAAAAGGGATCCGAAACTTTTTCCAACCCTCTCTTAATCCAGTCCAAAAATATTTACGTGTATGTACATAGTTTAACACGCGAGAAAAAAAAAATGTCAACTCGTATGTTTTATTACGCAAAGATAGAAAGCAAAAATAAATGAAAAATAATGTTTTTTGTATTTGAATATATATTTTTCACAAGATTTCAAACTTATTATTTTAATCTCACTTATGTCAAATTAAAAGGGACACGTTATCTATTTTATTTCATGCGGTTGACAAACATGTAAGCGGAGAAGAAGAAGAAGAAGAAGAGGAAAGTAACTATGCATAGTAGTAATGCCTTGTTGCGGGTTTGGCCTAATTTAAGTGACGACTTACGGTACGGTGGTTCAAGGTCAACCGGAACTTATATCTCATAAAATGACTCGGTGGATGTAACTAACGAGTCAACCGAGTTCTTCACCAATGTTACGTTTAAGAATTATTTTTGTCATATTTAGGTGGTCGTCGTTCATATCCAATTTTGTTTGAACAAACTATTGACGTATATCTCAAATTACTACCTGCTTCTTTTTCTTCCTATAAAGTATTTACGTCACGGAATCTCGACTTTAAAGAGCTCTATGAGACCGGGAAATTAAGTTGCAAGGACTTCGTGTATGTGTGTATGCATGTTGTGTGGTCGACAGTGCGTGCATTCGTAGCTCTATTTTGCAGACTAACGACGATTTAACCTAAT